TATTACATTTAAATGCACAGTAAAGAACCTGAAGTACTAATACCAAATTTTCCTACCTCTTGTCTTTGGAGCAGGTTTAGGCCATGTTTCTGGTTTTGCCTTTCCGACTCTCAACATCTACCAAAAGAGTTGTAGGACATGGTTAAATTCCACATACTAGAACAAACCTACATATCCTCTAAGTGCCAAGAAAATCTAGGAACCCCTTCAAGCACTCAAACCCTATGATGCCTCCCTAAGATTTATCCCACATTGTTTTTGTGGGGGAAGCAATTGTATTCTCAGACTAATCACCAGCCAGGACACAGGCAATTGTGACAAGACTTCCTCTGCTGCATAGCTTACCTGGGCAAAGGAAGGGAATGGAGACTCTTCTTCTAAACTCCCACAGAGCAATGGGCTGACCTGGCTGGCAGCAGGTGACAGTGGAGTTGGAATAGATTCTACAGGGAAAGGAGCAGAGAATTAAAGCCAGTTACATTTGGCAGAGACACTCATTATGCTGCTTATCAGGATGAAACAGAAATACAGTTTTATTGTCTTACGTAACTAACCATTTTTATCTCATCAGTTCCATCCATCAGTTACACTTCAAAGATTTCCTCAATCATTTTATTTTAGGAAAATTTAAGTTTGGTTGTGGGATTTTTGGGGTTTGCGGGTTCTGTTGTGTGAGCATTTTTTTGTTGTTTTGATTTTGAGAAAGATATTTAAGACTAGTTTCAACTTAATATTTTTCATGAACTACAAGATAAAACATTTGGTAAAGCATCACTGGACAACAACCTGAATGCTCATCATCTACATTTTATTCTAGGAGAACATGGAGGGGAAGATGGAGAGGGTAGAAAGAAAAAATGCCAGTAGTATTTTCCTGGCATACACATTTTTCTTCCCTTTTTGGGGCATTTTTCTTTTCTACTGCATCAGCAAAGACTGAAAAGATGGGACAACTACAGTGAAGATCTCATAATGTCACCGAAGTAGAGGTAATAAAAAGCAGACAAAGACCAGAATGTTTCTCAGCCACTTCAGCCTTTTGTTTATGATCTCATAAGCAACACAGGAAATAGTCCCAGAATGGTTTGGATTGGAAGGGACCTTGAAGATCATCTTGTTCCAACTCCCTGCCAGGGGCAGGGATACCACCCACTGGACCAGGTTGCTCAGGGCCCCATCCATCCTGGCCTTGAACACTTCCAGGGCTGGGGCAGCCAGAGCTTCTCTGAAAACCAGCAATCTTTGACTGGTATTTAGAAAGTTTAGCCTCATGACCTGAGCGGTAGGTCCCAAAAGAATAATCAAGAGCTACACGTGATGGGTTTTTCCAGATGCTCACCTGTCTGAAACACAGGGCTTCTGCCAAGAGGAGACAGACAGAAGCTCTGATGATCAATGCTGGTAGTTTCTCCAGGACAAGAGGTAAAAGCAGGAAACTGCTGCAGATTCTCTAAAGCAATATGGACCTCTGGATCTAGAAAGAGGTTTTAAATTAAAGCACTACACAATGTGGGGGAGGACTGTCAATATGCAAGTTGTTCCAGGAGTCTAGGAGGTGCCAGCTCGATTTTCTTTCCACCCTCTATTTTAGAGACCAGTACAAGCCCTGCTGCTGGATGGAAGCAGTTCCTAGGCCTTTTTTTCCTTCTTCACTTTTCACTCTACATAGTGATTACTATAAAAACAGAAACTAAGAATCCACCATGGAGATAGCTGTGCCCTCAAGTGCCCTCTGTCTCTCCCATAATGTGCAAGTATGCAGCAATTGCATAACATCACTTAACATCCTGACTAAAACAGCTTATGTTTTTCACTAAACAGACATTGTTTCTAATACTTTGTAATCTTGTTCTAAGTACACACTACAGACTAAAGGCCTTAGAGTTCCTCCTACAGCCCAAGAAATCAGCTTGGCATGACTGGAATATAAATATGACTGGAAATCCACCAGTTCTGCTCAATCATGACTTACATTTGCCCTGTTTCTTGTTTTCTTCCATCTCAATTCTGCGTTCGCGTCGCCGCTCATCACGAGCTTTCTTCTGCCGTAGACGTTTCCTCTTCTCAAGGTCATCTAGGAGCAATGCACAACACTGAGTATCAAAAAAACCCACACCAATCCTTTGGCAATGTTTTCTCCAGTTCTGAGAACAATGTATTCAGTTACAACACATTAGTAACAAGAGATGCTTACAAACAACATATGCTCTTCCAAGCAGTCAGGGGGTTTTATTCTTTTTATAATTGTTGTCTGTGAAACAGTGAATTGGGATTGTTCTGTCTAGCAGTGATCAGACAGTTGGTGCAAGAGTAAAGCTGCTATGTATGTTCTTTTGTTTTTTCTACCATTCAGGGATAAGAATGACTTCCCCTTCACCCTCATGGATACATGGCAGAACCTACTAGAAAGGTAGTACCAACCTGAAAACAACTCCAAAGTCTCCTTAGAGATCACAGGTGGCTTCAGAGCCAGTTCACAAATGCTGAACTCACAGGTGAGGGGCAAGTGACAGAGGTAGCGATGACGCTGCCTTATATCCTGATAAAAGGAGAGCAAGACATCAGCACAACAAGGCCTAGAGGCTGCCATGGTGATGCATAGCTTATGGAGACAGAATGCATACCATTCATCAAGTTAAATGGAAAAAACAGCAGCAGTGACAGAGTAATTACTTTATAAAACTACAAACACGTGAAGGATGCCCTAGGTCAGAACCAAATGTTCCAACATCTCCACCAACTGCATCATAATCAGATTTGGATGCAGCTAGTCCCGCTCACTTACTGATTTTCTTGTTATTCCTTCGTTCTCTCTCACATCACTGGAATAAAATTCCGCAATATCAGTCTTACCACACAATTATTTTTGTGCTGGAACAAATTTGCCTTTCACATTTAAATTATTTGGACCAACAACCACCGCTTTGCTAGACTGGAACGGGCTGAGTTTTGTATTCTTCCTTGCACAGATGAAAAACTTGAATTCCCTGCTACTGCTGCATCAATTCTTACTTGAACATATCTTTTCTTCAAGATGAATTAAGAATTATGTACAGTTGGTACTGCACATGTAAATTCTTACAGTTGTCTTTATCTGAGGTAAATGAATTCAAGACCCACTTTCACTCCCTGTGTCTCAAACACTGAAATTTCTTTCCATCCTCTTTATTTGCATAACATCCCACTGCTCAGAAACAACTCTAAAACAGAGGCAGACACTTGTTCAGGTTGAGAAAGATGATAATCTCTCTAGTTCAAGCTACTATCTGATATGAGAAAATAATTTACTTATTTTAAAACAACAAACCAATCTCAGGCTTGCAATTCTCTTGCTCCTAGAGCTTGCTACCTTCTAGGAAAAGGAAGGTAAACTGCAGACTGCTTATCAAAAGCAACAAAAGCCACTGCACCTTCCACAGATGCCCTTCACAGATTTGCATCCCTACCCATTCAGAGTTATGATTTCTTATTACTGAAGAGAAACTAGTCTCCTCTGTCAGCTACAATGATCAACCTGCTAAAACATGGGCCCTTAAATAATAAGAAGATAAAATAACTACCTCTGTCATTGAGTAGCCAGTTATCTCCACTACAGCTGCAGTGATCTTCTCTGGACTCTTCTCCAAGCTGCCATATTCACGAACAAGGCATCGAACATTCACGGGGTGGAGGTACATACACTGTCCATCCTCCGCTGCAAGGCAAGGCATCATCACTCACTGTCTGCCTGGGAATTCTCAACAGCCTTTCCCCACCTCACTACATTCTCCAGTAAGAAAATGAAAGCTCCTTTCTGAGTTTCTGTGGGACTTTTATTTCACAGGAGCTAACTGCATCTGATGAGGGGACAAACATATTGCTCCAGGAGGATCCCAAAGGAAGAATCTTTGCCCCCATGATTTCAGGTTTTCCTTGCACTGACCTTGGTAAAAATAGTAAAAAGGAGAGTTGCCAAGATGTCCACTGCCAACTGTTTCTTTAGGTTCTTGGTGGCTTGTTTCAGTTGGATTTGGTTCTTCTGTAGTGATCATATCAGGTTCTCCTACAGTGTCCACCTCAGGTACTTCCTCTTCATCCAGAACTGCCTCTTCTACTTCCACAGGAGGCGAAAAGGAACTTGCCAGATCAGAGGAAGGCTCCACAAGCTCCTCATCAAATGCAGAGATATATTCCACACCACACTACCACAGCAGAGAGGATACAGTTAGTACCACACCACCTCCTTCAAAGATTATCATCTCTGCAAAAATCTTTGGCATGAGTTCACCATACACCGCAGTGTCAAGTGGCAGAATTAAGTATTAACACGATCTGCCAGAGCACAGTTGTGACCCACCTTTTTCTCTTGGGAAACTGCAGGCTCCACAGCCTTGGAGCTTTCTAGGACCAATTCTTCCACAGCTGCACTGATTCCAGCAATGCCATTGTTTTTATCCTGGACAGCAGAGAGTGCTGTTTCTCGCTCCTGCAGGTCATCCAAAGGGAACAACTTAAAACTTGCCATTTAAGCCAGGAAACTATCACCACAGGTGTTTTTACCCTTGTCTCATACTTCAGGACTTCACAGATCTATAATTTATCTGTGACAAAGAGTGACTCTTGAAAAGGTGCTCTCCTTCTTGTTACTGCAAAGAACACACCTGTAGGACACCTAAAGGTTTTAAAAAGGCTTGTACAGGTTTGCTCATGTCTGCCCAATAGAAGTTACCCCAGAAATTGCTGGATCTGAAAGGAAAACACATCTTCCTTTGAAAGCAGAACTCCTTTTGCCCTGTTAACCTGAACATCATGCCAGGTACCTGGGGTCCAAAGGCTACAGTCTCCTCCAAGGTGTATAATGCCACTCCAGCAGCAAACACCAGCAACTTGCTGCTATGTACATCATGGAGACCAGGATAATCACACACAACCATCTATGCAGCAGAGCATGGATGCTCAGCACCCGGCATACTCTTAAAAACAGAGTTACTAAAAGCCTCCAAAGAGGTTGTTACCTTCAGCTCCTGGATAGCTGCCTCAATGAAGCAAGCTTCTGGGGTGTGTTTTTCCTCCTCATACTGTTTCAGTAATGCCGCTTTCTCCTCCAGAATCACCAGCTGCAAGACCTGCTCCCTGGATGCCAGAAGTAGCTTTGAATACTGACTGTGCTGGTCATCTGAACAGAAGGAGCACCAAATGATTAATATCTGCATGTAGAGGCACCAGTTTGGATTGCTGTTGCTTCTGAACTTTTGTTACTGCTCAGTTTTGCCAGTTAATCTCCCCAGGGCAAACAATACTCAGCAAGAGTTTGATACAGACTCTGCATATTACTGTTCTGTCACTGATGACACAAACCAGTGCCACATACCTGCTCTGCCACACATCTCCCCCAGTCAAGTCTAAACTTCTACACTGTGGAAGTATCACCTTTGAGCAGCCTTGGCAGGGGGTCAAAACTTCCTGAGCAATGCAGACTGCAGCTTTTTCCTCTGCTCTATATATTCACCAACACTGCAACCGGAAATTTCTGCCAAAGTCACCCCTGGTTTGGCTCAAACTAGTTCATAAGCTCTTATGCATTAAAAGTCCACACAAAACATTATAGTGAGGTTTTTACAAGAAGCACAGCAGAAATAGCAAACTAAAAAACTCTAAGTTTAGCAAAAGTTAGTTGTCTGTTACTACAGCACTTCACAAAACTTCACAGCAACCACAGCATCACATTAATTAACACAGCCCCTATATTCACTGCTCCCTAAGGGTCCAACCTTGCTCTAGAGAATCCCAAATTAATACTCAATTTTCTGGCTTCAGAACGATCTCAAATCCTCCATTTGTTCTTTTGGTTTGTTTTACGAAAAGACTTAAAGTCCTTTACTTTCAAATCCTGAGAAACATGCAAGCCCACAGCCTGCATGCTGGATACCCATCACACTTCAGGAGACTTGACTTTTTACAGAGAGCTGAAATGCATGCAGCCTTTCCTAAATGTGACTGCAAAACGAAGTGAGCCAAGACAGCCCACAAAGCAGCAATGTTCAGGAAAATTATTTCTTTAGTCACAAAATTTTTGTGATACTAACAGATAAGATGATGATGTGTTAGTCACATTCTTGACTGGAGAAAACTGAACATGTCAAGCAACAGATGTTTGGAATAGGTTTGCAATAATTTTGATTCTTTCCCCGTATCATTTGCTGACTTTAGTTGATAAGCAAAGATGATGAAAACCTTGCTGAAGATTACAGCCTCAAAATAGTTTAGACACAGAGACAAGTTATTTTTGCTAAGCTGTATAATCAGGAGCCAGGAACAAAAAAGTTAAGGACACTGAGGAGCCAATAAAAGCAGCAAGAGTCACACCAATGACTGTAAAATCCGAAACACATCACACCAACACCAACGACTGCAGGCAGGAGCCTGCAGTGCAGCCACTTGAAGGGACACAGCACACAAGTTAAAGCATTACAAGAAAGCAAGGTGTGAGTAGAAAGTTTACTGTTAACGTGTGGTCATTAAGCTTTTCAGCAGCTCCACCCCATGTTTTGTAGCCTGGTTTATTTTAAGGTGACAGCAGGACACTGCCAGGGTAAATGGTCTCTACACAAACCCTGGGTACAGCTAGGGGCAGGATGCCAAGCTCCAGTACTGGGATACACTCACCTCTGATGTAAACAGGCTGCACCACATTCATCCACTGAGATTTGGGCAGTGCTATCAGAACACCTTTCTCTCTTCTCATAAGTTGCATCGTAATGGTATCACCAATTGCATACTGACGTGTTTCCATAGCAACCACACTGCAATGTGCGGAGGAGGTTAGTGGTGTAAAAATAACACTTCAAAAAGATACCTAATTTAACAAACATTGTCTCACCTCTTGAGATCCTTCTTGTGAACAGAGCTGTAACAAATAGGACATTTGCTCCAGGTCTTTTCACTCAAGGAGAGATAGTGAAGGATACATGCCCAGCAAAAGATATGCCCACAACGAGTGATCTTTGCTGCCGTGGGTGGGTACAGACATATTGGGCAAGAGGGCACTTCGTGGCTACAGATCCGCTGAAACGGCACATGAGAAGAACAGTACAAGTTTTAGACTCAGAAATCAGGTCCTGAGATACAGAACAAACCACCTGTAAGGTCTACTCTAACATATTATCTTCCAGATGTTTAGGGTCTGCTTATTTACCAAGAAATTAGTACACTGAGCTAACACCTTCAGACTGCACATGGAATAACCTAGGTCACCCACATAGTATTTCTCTAATGACATTAATAAGTGATTCTTCTGATGTTTCCCCTTATGTATTCATCATATCTAAGAGGCAGCAGCACCCTCACCATGTGAATTCAGACAGCAGCGAGCTCTGTGGCCTCTCTCACACAGGCAGAATTGTGCAGCCCTGTTTAGCTGTGAGACTGAACTCACCCATATCCATGAACATGCTAGTTTAGTCAGACACTGTTAGCATCTCTGTGTGGCAGAGACATAACAGCCGAGCAAGTACCTAGATTTTTCAGCTCTCTTGCAGCGTCAGGTAACAGTGAGCCTACCTCCTCTCCACCTACACCATACACCAGACTGTCTTGGCAGATAATAAGTTTGAGGCAACCCAAAGTTCTGACCATAATTCTCAAGAGATTTTTCCATTTTGTTGCTAGGCAAGATGGGCCACCAATGCACAGAATAATTCTTCAAATTCTACACTCCAGTCCTCTTCCATGGACTCATGCCCAATTTTTCTGTTAATATCTCGATCACAAGGACTCTGTCTACAGAATGTCAGATACTATTTTTGATGAGCTCCCATCTGCGAAAGCAAGAAGAAGCTGCTAATTTTCCTAATAGATTTTAGCACTTCTCTTTTCCTGTCATGAAAGTATTTCATAATATATTCCATGACAGATCTTTCCCAGTATTGTGGGAGTGACAGAAAAGGCCTCAACTCAAAAACAGCTGAGTTTTATGTAACATCACAGAGGGAAAAGACAGGTTGAGGTTCTTAAGAAGAAGGAGAAAAAAAACCAATCTAGCCCATCACAACTGACCACTTGCTCCACAAAGTCCCAGTTGACCAAGGTATCTGGATCAGCAAAGTGGACTGTGTAGTCCTGTTCTTCAGAGACAACAAACTGGCAGCTGGGGAGAGGCAAAGAGACAGATGATCGACTCAGTTGTTTCTAAAAACTTTTTGAGAACCATCCTATAGGATTCTCTGAGCTTCTTCTTTGTCCAGCAGAAAACTGCTGGATGCACTCAGTAACTTCTACCAACAATAATCAAGAGTTCAATTCACAACCAGATGCTCAGAATACAAGTGTGTGTAACTTCAGTTAGACACAACATCACATAGTAACTACAGAATGAGCCAGGCAGAGTGGCTTTCCAGAAACCTGTAAGAAACAGCCAGCTCCATTCGGGATCTATTAAAAACCAGGGAATCCATAAGGGAAAAAATATGGTGACAAAAACTAGAATTACTGGAGTTCCTGCAAATAGATTTCAGTACAATAAGCCACAAAACAACAGGGAAAAATCAGAAGCATCAGTGATAAAAATACTTTTTTTCATTATCAGAGACAGGAAGCCTTGAACACACTTCACATTCCGGTGATAGCAAACTTTATTTCCAGCCAAAGGCAATTCTGCTGTTGGACTACTATCTATTATACATACCTGGGGGCCTGGAAAATACTCAGCAGTTTAAGAACTAAGGTCCATATGAGTCATTGCCTCTGGGACTCATAAATTTAGATTAGCTTTCATCTAGCAACTGCTGTTCCTTCCATCTCAACATAGTAATTTTTGGAAAAAACAACCATCTCCCATAAGGGAACTATACAGATCTTCCCAAATGGAGTGTCATGTTCCAAAGCCATGCTTGAAAACTTGAGCAGAGCATTAATTGTACCTAAAGGACTCACTCCACTGGGTACCTTGTAAATAGGTAAAGACAACACTCCTTTAAAATATAGTCAGTACTGCTAAAAACACTACAGAAAGGTAATTTCATCCTGGAAAAGTCAACAGAAGTAGTCAAGGCCAAATACAATTCCCTGGCTGGTCACCCCAGTGTCTCTGCAGAAGTCTAAGAGCCCTGTTAGTCGCCTACTCACTTGGCCTGTAGGAAGAGCTCCTTGTTGAACGGCTTATGTCCCCACTTGTTCCTTTTCCCCCAGTTGCCATGTCCATTCCCATCAAAATGTCCTGCTTGGCCACGGGGTTCAAAAGTGAAGTTCAGTAAGTGGTTCAGATTAATCTTCTTGGGACCAGAGAATTGGGCAGGGCTGAACTCTGCCCGTTGAGCCTCTGCTACCTAAGAGAAAACAGCCTATGTTAGAACTTGCTAGAATTTACTGCAAAAGCAACAGTACAGGTGGATACCCAGGCCCCATCAGTGACTATGTACAGAACATGCAGCATTCCTCACTCACCTTCTCCCATCCCAGTTCTGCAAATCAAGTAGTGCAGCGTTAGAAGTGCACGAGAACCTGAAAGTCAGAACTGAGTGATCTTACCCCACACTGAGCAAAAGGAGAGAATAAAAACAACCACATAAGGACAGGTTAAAAGCTGGCAAAACCTAGCACACAAGATAACAGAAGAAAGTTGCTTAAATCTTGACAATACTCTTCTAGACAGACAGTAATGCAAGTCTGATTACTGTTGGTACATATTGTACTTGTTTTGGTTACTTTTCATATCACAAAGTGAAGAATGAGAATTCAGCAGAAGCAGCAAGTGAGCAGTGCTGCTCATCCACTAAATCTGAAAAATTAGGGTATCAATTAAAACCCACAGTCTACAGTACTTAGATTCACAGCAGCGTAACGGCCTCAGTCTGGCTGGACTCCACCTTGATGTCACTGAGGCCAATACATGTACTTTCCCAAGATCCTCATCACATGTAAATTTGTGCACTGAAGTAGTTAGACCCAATCAATCTTCAGAGGGCAAACTCTGGCCTGTTTAGGAGACTGGCTGACAGTGTCCCTTGAGAAGCAGTTCTGAAGGGCAAAGGGGTCCAGGAAGGTTGGTCATTCTTCAACAAATCTTACAGGCACAGGAGCAGGCTGACCCCACATACCAAAAGGTGAGCCAGTGGGGAAGAAGACTGGTCTGGCTCAACAGCGAGGTTTAGCTGGGACTCGGGATAAAAAGGAGAGTTTATGACCTTTGGAAGAAGGGGCAGGGAACTCAGGATTGCTACAAGGATGTCATGAGGTTATGCAGGGAGAAAAGCAGAAGGGCCAAAGCCCAATTAGAACTTTTATCTGGCTACTGCTGTAAAAAACAATAAAATGTTTATATACATCATGTTTAAATGTTTAAATACATCAGCTACAAAAGGAGGACTAAGGAAAATCTCCAGCCTTTATTGGATGTGGGGGGAAACATAGTGACAAAGGGTGAGGAAAAGGCTGAGGTACTTAATGTCTTCTTTGTCTCAGCCTTTAATAGTAAGACCAGTTCTCCTCAGGGCATCAAGTCCCCTGAGCTGGAAGACAGGGACAGGGAACAGAATGAAGCCCTCATAATCCAAAGAGAAATGGTCAGTGACCTGCTGTGCCACTCAGACACACACAAGTCTATGAGGCTGTGTGGGATCCACCCAAGGGGACTGAGGGAGCTGGTGAAGTGCTCACTGAGCTACTCTCCTTCATTTACCAGCAGTCCTGGCTAGCTGGGGAAGTCCCAGTTGACTGGAAGTTAGCAAATGTGACACCATCTACAAGAAGGGTCAAAAGGAGGATCCAGGGAATTACAGGCCTGTCAGTCTGACCTCAGTGCTGGGGAAGGTTATGGAGCAGATAATCTTGAGTGCCATCACATAGCACATACAGGATAACCAGGGGATCAGGTCCAGCCAGCATGGGTTTATGAAAGGCAGGTCCTGCTTGACTAACCTGATCTCCCTTCTATGACAAGGCAATCCACCTAGTGGACAAAGGAAAGGCTGTGGATTTTTTCTACCTGGAGTTCAGAAAACCCTTTGGCAGAGTTGCCACGCCATTCTCCTGGAGAAACTGTCTGTTCACGGCTTGGCCAGGCACAGTCTTTGCTGGGTAAAAATCTGGCTGGATGGCCAGGCCCAGAGAGTGGTGGTGAATGGAGTTACATCCAGCTGAGGTCAGTCACTAGGGGTGTTCTCCAGGGCTCAGTGTTGGGGCTAGTTCTGTTTCATATCTTTATCAATGATTCAGCTGAACGGGTCAAGTGCACCCTCAGTAAATTCACAGATGACATCATGTCGGGTAGGAGTGTTGATCTACTAGAGAGCAGGAAGGCTCTGCAGAGGGATCTGGACAGGCTGGATCAATGGGTGGAGGCCAATTGCATGAGGTTCAACAAGGCCAAGTGTCAGGTCCTGCACTTGGGTCACACCAACCCCATGTAACACTTCAGGCTGGGGGAAGAGTGTCTGGGAAGCTGCACAGCCAAAGAGGACCCTGGGGGGGTTGGTCAACAGTGGCTGAAACGGAG